GGCGGGGGGGCGGCGAGCGCGGCGGGCGCAGATGCCCGGGTGACCGCCGCGCCGCGGTCCCCGCGCCGCCTTTGTGCCGGGGAGGCGCGCGCGGGGACCTAATCCATCAAATTGTCTACAAATTGTGAAGAAAATTCAAAAACCATATGGTCGCCAGCGCCGGCGCGCTCGGGGCTGCGGAGGGCCGCGGCCGCGCCCGCACCGGGAGCCGCGGGGGGCTGGGCCCGGCTATTGTCGCCTGTCAGCGGCCGCCCGGGCCCATTCGTCCCGGCCTTCATGGTCCGCGCTCCGAATTACAGACCCATCCATCCTAGGAGCGGGCGATTTATGTCGCCCGGGAGGACGGCCGCGCGGCCGGGCGCACGCCGCCGGCCGCCCCGCTCGGCCCCGCCGGCTCCTCGGCCGCGGCCGCCCTCCCCGCCGCCTCTCCGCCCCGCTCCTCCGCAGCTCGGGGTGGCGGGCCCCGGCCGCCCAGCCTCCCGGCGGCTCACGGCTCGCCGGCTCTCCGCGTCCTCGCGGCCCCTCTCCCCGTTTCTGGCTGCCTCTCGGCCTCCTCCTTGGACACGCACGTTCCTGACTCAGGCCTCGGGGCCCCGTCGCCTGCCCGAGACCAGATGCGCGTTTCTCACATCAATTTTTCGGAGAAAGGGAGCCCGGCGGCCCGGAGGCGGGACCCAACTCTGGTGACACTCGCCAGCCCAGCGACAACAAAAGCCCGGAGAGAAACTAGACCCCCCCCCCCCAGTTCAAAAAAAGTGAAAGCCTCCTGAGCCCCGACCCCAGCCGCCCGCCGCGTGTCGGGAGCCCGGGGGTCCCGGGACACCCACAGGCCTCGACTGCCAGCCGCCCTCTGGGCAGCCTTTGTAAACGTTACTAGAAATGTCCCGCAAGCCAGGGGCGCCCAGGGCTCGCTTTCCCGGAAGCCCCCGGGGGCGAGTCAGCGAGCCCTCGTTGCCTCCGGCCTTGGGCTCCTTCAACCGCTCTCCCAAACCAGGCGGAAGCCCTCGGGGCGTGCCCAGAACCTGGGTGTCTCCGGGCTCCACGGAGGGGCACCTGCCCGCGTGCCCGCGGCTAGCAGGTGTCGAGGAAGCGCAGGTAGCCCGCCTGGGTCGGGGGACCGCGAGACCGCAGGGCAAGCCTTGGCGCCTTCCGCCTGCGATCGAGTTCCCTGTCGCGGCCGCGAGCCTAGCTCTTTTACCCCGACCCGGCGAAGCCGGCTCCTCGGTCCTTTAGTAGCCGCCGCGAGCTTCTGGGCCCGGGCAAAAGGCACCGCTTCCTGCTGCCCCTCACTCCTAAGCCTGCCCCGAAACTCCCCCCAGATCTCCAAAGCTGGCCGGACCCACAAAGGGCAACAAGGGACAAGTTTGGGTAGATCTGGCCCCTTCTCGCGGATGCGGTTGCGGCCCGTTCTAGTAAAATGGCAAAGACTTTATTTATCGGAGAAAGAGGCCTTGGGTACAGTCGGAGAAAGAGAGGGCAGGACAGGGACTGGAAAGGGGCACCTGGAACCCATCCTCCCCACAGGACCACCCTCGTAGGGCCCAGTTGGGACGGGAGAGATGTCGTTGACAGACCCAGAGCTGCAGAGGAGGGGAGGGTGAGCGTTCGGGTCGCCCTTCTTTAGGTCTCTGTCACATGCAAAAATAAAATAATAATAATAATAATAATCTAAAAAGAGTAAAAAATAATTCTAGGGCTTTGGGTTCTGTTTTCGAGGGCTGGTTGGATGGTCGGATGGTTCCCTCGTTTATTCCCTAAGAGCCAGACTCCAGCATTCAGTCCGAGAAAATGCAGGGAGGTTTGGAGAAATTTTAAAAATAGTGGATATCGGGAGACAGACACGCCATCGAAAACAGACTTCTCTCGCTGGGGAAAGAAAAGATCGATTTTGAAACTTGCAAGTCAAGGCCGGGCTACCCCCCACCTTCTCACGCAGGGGGGTAAAAAAAAAGGCAGAAGAAAATTAAAAGTCAACCGTAACAGGCCGAGGGAGGTGAGCGGACCAGTGCATTCGCCACATGCAGAGAAAAATTAAAACAGCTTCTAGACCCCAGGAGTTAGTGATCGCCGCTCTTGAATCCGCCTCACCATCAGCCGACCCGGCAGCACCGGGGCTTTGAAACACGGAAATCTCTGAGATTCGAAAATAATAATAACAATAATAGTAATAACAAAAGAAAGAAAAAAAGATCAGGCTGCGGTGGGAGGGACCCACGATATAGGCTTAAATATTTATACAGAAGCCATACAGAATTGCACGGCGAGGGCTTTCCGGGGCGGCGGAGGCCGCGGCTGGCGGCCGGCCCCGCCGGCCGGCCCGGATTTATTGCTTCGAGAGGGAGGAGGCGGCTGTCGGGGGCCGGGTCCGGCCCCGGGACGAGGGTGGAGGCGGGAGGCGCGGGGGAGGTCCCAGCTCCCCGCAGCGGTCCGGTCGGGTCCGGGAGGCGGCGGGCGCGCGGGCTCGGGCCCGGGCGGCGGCTCAGTCGGCCACGTCGATCTCCTCGTCTTCCTCGTCCTCCGAGCAGTCCTGGCTGCTGGCCCGCTGGTCCGTGAGCGGGGAGGCCGGCGAGAGCTGCAAGGGCCCGCCGCCCGGGGCCTGCGGGGCGCCCGGCGGGAGCGCGGGGGAGCCCGGCCTAGACTTGGCCCTGCCGCAGCCGCCGCCGCCCGCGGCCTCCGAGTTCTGCTCCAGTTCGGCCAGGGCCACGATGTCCATCTGGCCGCTGGGGCCCAGTTTCTTGGCGGACTCCACGTCGGCCTTCATCTCCTCCAGGTCCCGCTTGAGCTTGGCGCGCCGGTTCTGGAACCAAGTGATGACCTGCGCGTTGGTGAGGCCCAGCTGCTGCGCGATCTGGTCGCGGTCCGCCGGCGACAGGTACTTCTGGTACAGGAAGCGCTTCTCCAGCTCGTAGATCTGGTGGTTGGTGAAGGCCGTGCGAGATTTTCGCCGCTTCTTCGGCGTCTGCCGCTGCCCAAAGATGGTCATCCCATCGCGGCCTGGAAAGAGACCACAGTGGACGCTCGCGGCACGGAGAGCGGGGACCCCACCCGGGCTCGCCCCCCACACCTCTGCCCCCCGGCCCGGCCCTCTCCACTCTCTCCACCAGAACCAACCGGGCCGCGGGGAGCCTCCTGTCTCCGGCCCCCTGGAGGTCCCTAGGAAAAATCCGCTCTGCTCTCTGATCCCCAAGAGTTGGTCTGAAAGAGCTGAAGTCTCACAGAGCGCGGGAGGCCAAACAGAGACCCCCAGGGCGCGTGGTGAACTCGATTCCCCACCCCTTGCCAAGGGCCGGACTCCCTCTCCCCAAAGTTGCCACCGCAGGAGTCCGGCCGGGGGGGCGTCCGGGCCGGTGGGAAGCCCAAGCCGCGGGCCGGACTTCGTGGGGGGAGCTCGGGAGGCGGGGGTGCTGAGGAAGCGGGGTCCTCAGTCCCCACCTTCGGAAGCCCCGGCCGGGCCGAGGCGGGGCGCGGGGGGCGCGGGCGGGGACCCGGGCGCCTACCTTCGGCGGCCTGCAGGACGCTGACCTCCAGCCCCTTGAAGGTCTTGCTGGCCAGCTCCTCCAGCGCGCAGAGCGGCGACGTCTGCGAGAGCAGCGCGCGGCCCGCCAGCGGCAGGCCGGCCGGCGCGTGCTTGTCGGCGGCGGCCAGCAGCTGCGCCGCCCCGCACAGCGAGTAGCCCCTCCGCACCGACGGCTTGCTCAGGATGTCCTCGATGCTGAAGGGCGTCAGCGGCTTGTTGGAGTTGGCGGGCGGCGGCAGGTGGTCCAGGGGGCTGCGCCGCCGCTCCTCCCCCGGCGCCGCCTTGCCG